AAATCACTGATTTTCTCTGTGGACTTTGGTCTGACAGCTGAAATCATTCATGTTCTTCATCAACTGTGGTGTGTAAAAATCCACAGTGCAGAAACTTCAGTTTTTCTGTTTGAATTGTCTGTCTTGGAGTGAGATAAAGACATTGTCTGACCACATTGTCAACTTAACTTGACGTAAACGTTATGAACTGAGTCTTTATACCCGTCTGTTTTTGTCAGTACCTCATGGTAGAAAAGCACCAGAATGTAATGGACCAACCAACCGCACTGATTATTCCTCTGTCTTTCTCAAACACGGATCCACGTGAACCTTCCGGACTGCGCCCCCGCTCCTCCCTGCACATCGACCCAGCGTGCACGCTCTGTGCAGCCTGAGTGTTTTATTATTTTTGACAGAGTTCAACAAACACATCTGGTCAGAGGATAAAGAGTGGATGGAGGTACGGTTGCCAGGGGCGGAGAGGTGAGGGAGGAGGAGGCGGAGGACAACACCCTTCTTCATCCATCACTTCCTGTCTCTCCTGAGGAGGAGCAGAGCAGCACTGACCCGGCTGTTCCTGGACTTTGACCCCTGAGACTCGGAGCCTACAGTCCATTAGAGCTGTGGAGGCAGCAGTAAGAGCTTTAAAGGTCCATTCCCTGATGTTTGATGATGTCAACAGTGGATTTTGGTCCCAGTTGAACTCTCTGTGTTTCTCTGGTTACACCATGGGATTCATGAATGATCCTTTCATTTGCATCTGATAACCAGCTAGGTTTGAATAAAGCAGGTGTTTTCACCTGTCGGTGTCAGAGTTCAATGTTACCCTGTCATGTCGGCACCGTCCTCTCTTCTGAATGATGGCATGTCTGAGATCAGAGGCTCCTAACAGCTGCTGTGGGGAGGAGCACTCTCTCTGGTGGAACACAAGAACCGATGAGTTCCTGGTCTCCACCACACTGGACCAGAGACTCTCATCGGTTCTTCTTTCATTTTGTGTCTGTGTTTCCTCTGTGGTCCTGTGAGGATCACAGAAACAGTTCCTGTTCTGTGTGTCAAAACGGTTCCACTGGTTCTGATCTGGAACCAAACAGTTCCAACAGAACCAGGACTTTCTGCCAAGAACACGGTTCACAGAAAGTGAAATATATTTGGTTCCTGTTCCTCCTGACAGTTCTGCCTCTGGAACAGAAACGGTTTTAGGACTGATACCGACCCAAGTATTTCCATCAGTTCCATGTCCCTTGTTCACAGTTACGGCCGCTCCATATTTATTATAATCCATCGCTAGTTCTTGGTTTCAGTTCCTGCAGTAAAAACCAAACTTCTAGTTCCTGGAACTTGTTTTTCTTGACATTTTTTCTTTACATTTCTTTTCTCCTGGTTCTACAGCCTGTGATGAAAGCACACACAGGCTTTTTTTATCACTTTTTTAGCCGATGGAAACATACAGTTCCAGGTACTGTCTTTGGTTCCTGTGACAAATTTCTCATTGAAAAAAACCCATATTATTCAGCTGATTCTGTTCAGAAACTTTTCAGGAAAAAACGTCAGGCTCTGTTAAACAGCAGCTTACACACACACACACACCCTGGCCTTTAACTCCCTGTTTCCTGATTTAACCAATCTGTAGGTAATGTGTGAGGTCACAACATCTCAATTATCACAGCTGCTGTCAGTGTGTGCCTCAGAGCGGAGCTGCTGCAGCCACACCTCACCCTCCTCACCCTCCTCACCCTCCTCACTCCCTCAGCCCACCTCACCATCACCCCATCCTCATGCAGAGGCTCTCATAGCTTCATTAGTGTCCTCCACAGCCTCCAGACTTTAGGCAGAGCTGGCAGATGAGTCTATGATGAGGCAGAGTACTGGTGACTTCACTCTGAAGACCACCTACTCACTGCTGTGGACCGCCTTAGTCCCACCTGCTAGGGCCCAAAATAGAGAATCTCACACACACACACACACACGCTCACACCTCAGTCCACACTGGATCAGATGTGATCTGGTTGAACCAGGTTGGTTCAGATTTGTTGTTGGTCTCAACAAATTAGAACATTTGGGGGCGGGGCTAAGACTTCTGCAGCTCTCACATGAATAGACAAATGATCAAGCTTATAAACAACACAGAGAAGATGAAGTTTCTCATCAGTCTGAAGTTTTATAACTTATATAAATATTACTTATATCAAGCACACACTGTTGATCCATGTTTTTTAATTCATTATTGAATTTTCTACATGAAATATCAATTAATCCCTATTCAAATTGTGACTTCAGTGATTAATTGCTTATATTTGAAATAGTGTGATTGTCATACAGCATAAAGTTTTATCTTAACTCAGCTGTCACAGCTGTTTTCTGTCATCTTTTCTGACAATTTAATCCTAATCTGTAATCCTTCACTTTATTTATTTATTTATTTGATTATCTGAACTAATCTCATCTGTCTCATGGTAAAAGCCGTGGCGGTTGTGTGAGCTACAGGAGCACAGCTGGTCATTTACACTTAACTGTAGATTTCATTTTAGTGTTTAAAAAAAAACAGTGTCATGAGACTCGAAGGATTTAAGCTCCTGCTGATTTCTGACCCGACTCTACACCACAGCTAAAGTTAGGATGTAGGCCAGGACATCCTAGCCGCCACATTCTCACACTGTCATTGTACATTTGTGCAAAACCACACACACTCTGGTGAGCTCATGTTTTTTTGGATGGAGTCAAATTCAATTTCTCTTCCTTTATAAAGTTTTTTTTATTTTTTTCCAGACACAACATTTTCAATGAGAGCGCAGAAACAGGAGGCAAGGATTTTTCTGGGACACAGTGAACACAGGGCTGGATCCTGACTGGTTTCTGCTGGGGTTTTTTTTTTTTTTTTTGGTGCCTGCTCCTCTGTGGTTCAGGTCTGCTCCCCGTGCACACATGACGTGCACATCACTCATCTCAGGTCATTTTTCTCTGAGAAATTGGTCTTTCTGTCCTTCTCTAACAGAGCATCCTTTTGATTCCTGGGTAAAATGTCTACCAGGGATTCACTGCAGTGAAGCAGGTATGTGTCCGAGCTCAGTGTGTGTGTGTGTGTGTGTGTGTGTGTGTGTGTGATGGAGGCAGGCGGGTTTCAGCGTGGAGAATAAGACCCCAGAAAATGCTCATTAGAGTTGACCTTGGCACTTGGAGCTGGTGTTTGATGGATCGGGTACAGGGCCAAACAAGCCCCCAGGGAGCCATGATCTTATCTCTTATTGTACACACACACACCATCAGCATCAGCATCACAAACACATACACACACTGACCCTGCCCACCACCCGCCCCCACCCACTCACTCACACTCCTGTGCTCTACACGCATCAGAGGCAGAATAAATCTGTGTCTGACAACACAAGAAAACCAGAGAGAGGAGGGGGAGGAGGGCAGGTGAGGAGAGGAGAGAGGAGAAGAGGAGAGCAGGAGACCTGAGGGAGTAGGGGAGAGAGGGAAGGTGCAGGGCTGTGCTTGAAGAGGAATATGGGTAAAAAAAAGGAGAAAGAGCAGTAAAAACACGCAGAGGGCTGGAGAAAAGCTCCATCTCACTGAGGTGTCGTTACCTTCATACGTCAGAGCAGAGTGGGTTTAAACAGGACAAACTAATGTTTCTCTAAGAGTCCTGGAAATGATGGAGAGGCAGGAGGAGAAGGACTGG